GGGGGGGGGGGGGGGGGGGGGGGGGGGGGGGGGGGGGGGGGGTAAGGGTAAGGATGACGAACCGCACCCTCGCGAAAGCAACACGAAAGCGCCGTGTGCTGCAACAATCACGCGCTGCTCGCAAATAGCCCGGAAGACCCATGTTTGGAAGCAGCAGCAGCAGCCAGAAGAAGAAGCGCGGGGTACCGCGACAAGACTCCCCCCCCCCCCCCCCCCCCCCCCCCCCCCCCCCCCCCNNNCCCCCCTCTCACCATGTTGAGCACTAGGTAGAAATCTTGGTCGAACGGCGCCGGCTTCTGTAGTGCCTCACCCGTCTTCACGTCCGTGGAGAACCAATCGTCTATGCGGCAGGTCTCCTCGTCGTCCATGAACCACACCATCTCGTCTGCGTCCCTTGCGAGGCGAACGCCAAGCGACGACACACGAGAAAAAAAAAAAAAATGCTCTGATGTTTTTGTGTTTGCTAATGGAATCCTGGCCTCTTGTTATTCATTGTTGGGCGAAACGAGTTCTTTGTATTCTTGTCTGAAAAAAATAACAGAAAAAAAAAACTCGTCATGTACAGAAGAACACGAGAAATTTTAGTCATGCTTGCACAAATCACAAACCCCGCACGGCATCTCCACCGCTTGGTATACTGTACTACCTTTACGCGAAAGCCACGGAGAAGGACAAAAATATTGTACACAAAACGATCCGATTAGAAAAACACGAGGTCGTCCGACACGCGAGACTCCGCTTCTCAGTCTTCTGGATCGCGACGCTGCGTCTTCATTGCCCTGGATACGACAAAAAAGATGTTGCCATGAATATATTGGCGGGATCGTGACAAATTGATAGATCACCATTCGACGGCGTAGATGTGGTAGTCCTCCAGCGTGCCGTCTGGAACATCCAGGAAACACTCTCCGTTGTGGTTGGAGTTATTCGGGAAGGCGTTTCCTTGGCATTACAATGAACGGGGGAGGGGGGAGACGGGATATCAGGTCAAGGGGCCGGGGGGCAGGTACTCTTCATGCTTTGCATACCTTAGCGGTGATGTAGACCATTGACCGCGCGTCCTGGAGAGAGAGGAGGGGGGGTATACTCATAGTCGTGCATGCACATCAGGAGAGGGAGGGAGAACACACGTGGAGCGATAAGCCTGGGCGATTCGTTCTCGGGATACAATAGGTTGGTCGGCGGCTACACGCGGGGGGATTGGAAGGGGGAGGTATGTTTGCGACACGCGGAAAAACACAACAAACTTTGCACGGCACATGCCCGCTTCGCTCCCTTCCAAAACCGTCGGATATCGGTCTTCGCAAAGGCGACCACAAGCATCCAACGATCGGAAAGAACCTGCAGAAGTGCCACACCGTGGTCGCCCGCGTTGCCTGACCGGCGCGAGCCGAAAAATGAGAAAACCAAACACACACGGTTCATCTCAACACGCCAGCGCGTGACAGCATACTTCGCGCCACAAGCCAGTTACTATCCTCTTGCGGAGCACCTGATCGTCACGAATGTGTTTTACCGCGGATGAAACGGAGCCCGTGGCACCGGCCGGGACACCGCTCTCATCACCATAACGTCCACAACGCCACACGTCCGCAGCAAGCGCCACGTCTCTCCCTATTAAGGTTTTAGAGTAAGGTGTGACAACGTCTCTCTCTCTTCTGACTTTAAGGTAGATCATCTCCACGTCCCTCTCTTCTGATCCAAGATTTGCGATTACAGAGGGGGTCCCTGCTTGTAGCCGGTTGAATAGTGCCCAAGTTTCTCTCACCGTACCCATAACCCTAACCCTAAGCTTCTCTCACCGTAGGCCAGGTTGTTTACAGCCTCCGTGAAATTGTTTCTGCTCTCGAAGATATCGATCTCCCCCGAAGCCGCCCACTTGCCGTAGGCGTTGTCCTGAGGCATCATCCAGAACGCCGGCCACAGCCCCTGCGGTAGCAAAAAACACGGCAGGAGGATCAAGTTGTGTGTATCAGCGCGGTGACCACACACAGCGGTAACAGCGAAGCAGCTATCCTATCTATCGCACACAACGGTTGCGGCGCTGCGGGTATCACGTGCGGTGGCTATCACCACACAGCGGCTTTCAAACACAGCGGTTGTACGGCACAGCGGTGTGTTCGATGCGAGAGCAAGCATCATACCTAATGGTGTGGTGTGTTGCCCGGAGAGGCAATCAGCGCTAGCTTTGGAAGGTTACACCATCCCAACGCTTAAAGGAAGGACAGCAGAGAAGCAGGGCCACCGTCACGTCACGCGAACAGGGTGACAATCGAGGAGCACGACAATAACACCAACATTAACAACAACAAAACAACGACGACGACAACGACAACAACAACAACAACAACAACAACAACAACAACAACAACAACAACAACAACAACAACAACAACAACGACGACGACGACGACGACGACAACGATAACAACAAGAAACTACTACTACTACTGCTACAAAAACAACATCAACGCACCAGCAACAACAACAACAACAAACCACATCACCAACGACAAAGTAACCGTGACGCAACAACGGTAACGACGAAGGTAACGACAACAAAACACAACAAACACCCACAAGACCAACACCACCACCGTTACCAATAACAACAAGAACACCAACAACAACGACAGCAGCAACGACAACGACACAAAACAAAGCGGCAACAAGGCTCTTCTGCAAAAATAAAAACGTATGTGTCTCCGTAGTCATATGCATGCTGTACCTGTCCACCAGGCGGGAGCCTTAACCTAGCCTCCGCCCTACCGTACCGGAAGGAGAACTTGTTCTTTGTCGTCACCTTGCTGCTGGTGTAAAACCTGCACCGGGTGAACAAAATACAAACAAACATGTTTCTTCTCCAAAGTCCTAATAATCTTGATACGAAGTATATTCTCAAATCATCTTCATTGAAATATTACCTCAACTTCTAATGAATGAGTGTTCTGCTCAAGGTCAAAACAAACATCACGTGAGATAAACAAACATACAGTCAACACGCTGTCGCATGGTTTCAAGGAAAAGCGTAAGGGTTGAGCTTGCGACAGGTTCAAGCAGTATCCTTCGCAACGTCTTGCGTAAACATGTTGGAATATGCATACGGTCGGGCAAAGTTGGGATAGGGGTAGGGTTAGGGAAAGGGTCTGCGTCCCTCCTCCCTGTTCTATTTCCTCATAAAACTGTCAAAAATCGCGCGAAGGCGTTCCGGTTCAAGCGATCGAGGTCTGTCTTGCCTTGAAGAATAATCTTCCTTCTTAGCGGTGATCGCTAGCACCCCATTGGCGACCGCAGCATTCTCGCTCCGGTAGTACTATGCGAGAAAAAAAAAGAAAAAAGGGAGCAACGAGAAAGGTTAGCACCCGAAGGCAGGGACGGCGAAGTTAGGTTACCAGGTGTTTCCAGCCTGTTTTTTTTGTTTTATTACCCTTGCCGACGTCGTCATCGTGGGCATTTGGTTGTTGTTGTTGTTGCTAGGGTTCTGCCGAATATTGCCGTTGCCGGCGACGTTATTGTGGACACGTCGTCGTCAACACTGTTGGTCGAGGCTGTAGTTGTTCATGCTGTTCCTCCCCGCTCTTCTATGCCACGACGACGACGACGACAACCGCGTGTACTTCCCCCCACCCGCCATCAAACACTCGCCCAATCACTAGAGCTACCCCCTTTCCAGCAGCAACCCAGACTATGCAGGTCTCCCTTTATCCTGCCAGCATTTTGATGGGGTCGCCACAACATCAAGCCCCATCAGCACTACCAGTAGCAGTGGCCGTTGTAATAGTAGTAGCAGTAGTAGTAGCAGTAGCAGTAGTGGCCGTGGTGTCAATATAGCCAAATAAGATTTGGTAGAAGGGCAGCAGTACCCAACCTCGGAAAACATCTTTACCTTCGCATCAACCCATTCCAACAGCATACGCCAGAGTGAGTTTGGATCCAACAGGCCGAGCGTCGCGGTGCCGCGAATCGCAACCCTCCTCCTTGGTCGTGAAGTCCAAGACCACCCTTGCAGCAGCACGTATCGTTCGCGTGTCTTTGCGGTACTTCCCCCCAAAACAACAATACCTCGGTGGGAAATAGTGACCGCACAAAACCGCCGACATTTCCAACACATGAAAAAGCAACCGACAAAACAACCTCTACATTCTCCATGGGTTGGAGTAAACGGCGCAAATGCTGTAGGCGCTGATTTTAAAGTCAAGACCAAAGAAGAGAAAAAAAAAAAAAACTCGAGGCGATTTCAAACCAACATCTTCCTCTACACCTTCCCAGCACATCATACACAGTGATACACAAGACGGCAAAGACTGTCTTGTTGAGCTTGCTACCCACAGGGGAAATATCGCTGCGTGCTGCTCGGGAAACCGTAGAACTAGACGGGGTTTCCGCTGACGCTATGAATTCATTGCTGATTTCAAGACTCTCTTCTATGGATAGAGTTTTGAATTCTTTGTGTCATATTATGAAGAAATAAAACAAAACACAACTTGCCTGTTTTTCCCCATTCCCCCAGTCACACAGGTCGACGTCGCAGCCGTCCCCCTCGTCGACAACCCACTTGTCCCAGTCCACAGAGCCCCCGTTGAACTCGTCGTGCCACACGAGCTGCAGGTCCTCCGTGACAAGGGCGGCCTCTACTGCTATCCGCGGCGCGGACAGCGCTGCTAGCAGCAGCGGAACCAGGCGCCCGAAAAACGACAACAACAGCGGCATGGCAGCAGCGACAGCAGCAGCAGCGGCCGCCTGCCGTCTGCACGCGCACATACGCACACGGTAGAACCCTTTGATTAGAAAGCGTGTGGACGATTTTTTAGGGAGAGAGGGGGGAAGAGAGAGAGAGAGCGAAAGGGAGAGAGAGGGGGGGGGAGAGATATGCTCTGCTCTGCCAAGAACACCACCACAGAAAGAAGGAGGGGCGATTGGTGGCAGTTCTCAATTCAATTCCCTCATGTGCCTACCTGCAGGTAGAGACGAGTATAAATACAGCAACTACTGTGGATAGAGATAAGTGTGTTACCGGTGTTGCTGTAAAAAAAAAAACACATATGTTTAGAGAAGTTCTGAAGGGTGTTTAAGACGACATGCCGTAAGGTCGCGAGTCAGCTAGAGCACAGGGACAGGGGCGCGATCGATTTTTAAAGCGTAGTTTGGCCACAACCAAAAGGGTGCGAGCGCCAGCTGGTGTTTCTCAGGAAAGCTCTCGGTGAGATACTCCAAAACCGCCTTTTTCGACAGTGGAAACCCCCTGGTTGTGAAGAAATTACGCTTTGAAAGTCGCTCGCACCCCTGTGCCTGTGCTCTAGCTGACTCCCAACCTTACGGTACATGATGTACCATCATAAGTGGGTTATTTCGATGTCCCATCTAGGAACCGTCGCTCGCGGTTTCTGATCGTGGGGGGCACGCAGACGATAACCCCTCTGCGGTGGACGTCGTTCATGTTTGACACGCGAGAAACGTTTCAGGTGCCCTTGCCTTCCCTCGAGCAAGTGCCCTCACGAACAAGCGGCTAATTTGGGATAAGAAATGCGTGGAAACAAACAGCAAACCTCCTCCGTATGCCTAGAACCCCCTTAACGGAGCCATCTACTTTTGGGGTCAAATTTCGACCCCATCACTATTCACATGTTTTACCTCGCAAAGAATGGCATGACTGTCTCCTCCTTTGATCTCCTCGACAAGGGGGGTGCCGGGGTACGGGAGGAGAACCAGAGGGGAGGAGCAAGAGGATAATGACAGGTCGAATCTCGGGACGACTGTACCGCGGGTTCCAACAGCGAAGTTGCGCCGTGTCTACATACAACTATGTGCTTGGGTGCATGTGCAGCGCTACTGTACTTCGGGCACGCGCGGAAGAAGCAAGTCGCCCACCGACGGAAGGAAAGGAGGCACTGGGCAACCTAGAACTCGGGATGGGAGCTCTCGCTTTCTATCTATTTAGAGGAAAAGCTTGACATATTTCTTTTCGTGCCCAATATTCCACGCCCCCGCCAGTTGTCATCTACAATGCCCCCGACCAAAACGCCCCCTTCGAATATTTTTGGGCCGGCTGATGGGGAAGAGGCGGCTCAGGCGGGGAGTCAGCTTTGCACTTGCACCCAGGTCTGGAACTGTCCACATTAGCCAATCAGCGGGCGCCCTCCTTTTTTTTCGTACAATTCTGAAACTTCGCAACAAGAACGAATTTTCTGTGCGTGGTAAGGACGTTTAAACCTGGAATTAATTCGATATCCCACCGATGATACTGTACATTGTACAGAGCCTCGCGGTCAGGGCATGAGATAGCGTTACCCTTGGTTTACAAAACGATGCATTGGAACACAATCAGTACACGAAGTTTCGTGTGTGACGAAATAGGACAAGAATGAGATATATGTGGTTGGGTATGGGTCATTCGAAACGCGGTACATGTGCAAGAAATAAAACCCTGGTCGTGTCAGGCGGCGTGGGGGGGGTTTCTCTTGTTTAGAAATTGTTGTTGTTGTTGTTGTTGTTGTTTCTCTCACAATAGCTCTATAGTCCAAAAAAATGGGGGGCCCGTGGTCTCAAAACCCGGCACATACGACGCCGCGAGAAAAAAAAAAAAAAGGGTACAAACCACTCGGAAAAAGAAAACAAAATCATAGAAAGAAAAGAACAGGTATCGCAGCGACCGTTCGAGAAAAGAGCCCTCGGACACCGATCAAAATAAAACAAAACAAAAATAAAGGAGGACGCTTCCCACACCCGCC